TGGGCCGCCCCGCCCCCCGCCGCTCGGTGGTGACCGCCAGACCCGGAGCCCCAGCTGCTCGGCCGCGCGCAGCGAGGGGGGTAGGGGCGGGGCTGCCGCGCGGTGCACTGCGGGCGACCCCGGCGGGCGGGGGGGGCCGGGCTGGCGCGCGAGGTCAGGCGCGGGCGACCCTCCCCCCAGGACGCAGCTGGGCCGCCCCGCCCCGGAGGCAGAAGGGCTGCTGCCGCCCCGAGGGGCCCCAGGTGCTGACCGCCCACCCAGGCCGACCGGCAGACGCTGCCGCCCCCGCCAGGCTGCACTCCACCCCCGCGGGCCTCCGGGGCTGCCCTCCCTCCCCCGCGGGGCCTCCCCGGCGCTCCCCTAGGGCCCCGGCGGGCCTCCCCCTGGGCTGCCCCCGCCCCCGCCAGCTGCCGGCCGCCAGGCCCGCCTGCGGCCTCCGCCCAAGCTCAGTCCTCGGCTGACCGGCCTCCGCCTTCAGGCCGACGGGGGTTGGCCCGAGTTCCGGCCACACCGAGAGCGCGTTCTCGTGACTGCCCCCGCCTTACCGCCCCCAGCACCCCAGACTGCTTTCTGTTCCGAAAGGGAGCTATAAACTACGCATTCTTGCGGTGTCTAGCGAGGGCTCTTAATTTTCTTAATCTTGTATTTATTAATTGTTGTGTAAAGGGGTGAGGCAAGGCAGCGAAGATGCGCCTTAGCTCTCTGGCCTGGCCCTCTGGGCGTGGGGCCCCCTGGCAGCAGCAGCACGCAGGGCTCTGGGAGCCGCCGGGCGCGTCAGGACCCCGCGGGAAGGCCCCTCCTTCCCCTCTCACCCCACCGGCCAGCCGGGAACGGAAACGGCCCGCCACCAGCGGAGCACAGAACCCTGGACACTCGAGTTTTGTCCCCTTTTCCTTCTCTCCCATCTTCCTTCTTCCCCCGGTTTTACTGCTTTGGGTTTCTCGTAGGGAGTCCACATTTCGGGTGGGCCGATGTTAACACTCACGCCGCTGTGTATGTACCTTCCCCTCCTCCCGCGCCCCAGGCTCCCACCCGCCTGAGCCCGGTCTTGGGGCGCCCAGGCCGCGCCCCTCCCCCATTCTTCCCTACCCCTCCCCCTCCTCCCGGACGACTCCTCCCTGAGCATGCATAATTCCGCAGCACCCCATCTGTTATTGCCATGGAGACAGGAGCCCGGGGAGATAACGATGTTCTGTGCAGCCCGGTGGGGGCAGAGCGCATCTGCGGGGCGGTGGGGTGGGGGGTGCAGTGCTTCTCTCGCTGGGAGCGCGCTTGGCCCGGCCCAGAGCTCACGAGGAGGACAAGGTAGTCCTGAGACTTGGCACCGCCTCAGCCCTCACACCTGGCTCTAGTGCCTAGCGAGAAAGAAATTTTTAGAAACCAATATGACTCCTCTAACACTCTGGGAGGCCGTGGAGGGTGGATTGCCTGAGCTCAGGAGTTCAAGACCAGCCTGAACAAGAGCGAGACCCCGTCTCTAAAAATAGCCAGGCGGTGTGGCGGGAGTCCCAGCTACTAGGGAGGCTCGGGAAGATGGCATGAACCCAAGGGGTTGCTGTGAGCTGAGACACCACGGTACTCTACCCCTGGCGACAGAGTGAGACACTGTCTCCAAAAAAAGAAAGGAACCAAGATGACTGACTTAAAAAGAAGGGATTCAGAAACTGCGACTAATAAGAATGTTTAGTATTTAATCAGCTATAAGAGTAATTCCTTGCATATCCGAAGGCCTGTGGGCCAAATGAATGGGGCAGTAAATACTGGAGAACCCAGACAGCTGTCTTCCTCCCAGTTCTTTTGATTTGCTGTCGTCAGGAATCTGTTTCTGAGGGAAGGATATTACCTGACTGATTTTATGTTCAGTGGTCTGAGAAATAGTGACCGCTAAAGGTAGCCAGAAACAACAGTCAAGGGTGAGGACTTTTTTCCATTGTTGGTCAAAGTACAAAACATTTCCAATTAAAATTCGCTTTGTCCTTAAATTCCCATGTCTGCCTCTCCATGGTACAAGTTTAAAAGCAAGTGAAAAAACTGACCAGGCTATTTGTTACATAAATCTAATGCCTGTGGTGGAGGGTTCACAGGAAGCCACATTTTTGCAGGACTACTTAAGGATTTTCAGAAATTATCAGTAAAATTGATTACATAATAATGAAATTTAAAGCACAGAAAACAAATGCTAATGGTTCTTTATCCCAGAAACATAATTGCACAGGAAACAC